TCTTTCTTTCTTTCTTTCTTTCTTTCTTTCTTTCTTTCTTTCTTTCTCTCTTTCCTGTCTGTCTGTCTGTCTGTCTGTCTGTCATCTATCTAAGTTGCCAAGCATCCAAATTTTGATCATGGGAATGCTGCAATGGTCGTAAGTGTGGAAAAACGCCCATGTCACTTTTTTCAGTGCTGTTGTAACTTTGAATGGTCACTAAATGAGCTGTTGTAAGTTGAGGTCTACATGTACAAAAAAGACTGCACAAATGGACACACACACAAATAAGAACACAGCTTTCTAGCTGCCGTGGTATGTGAAGGGAAGAGATGCTGACCAGGGAATGATAAGAAAAGAGGGGGAGGAGCCCACAATTCTTTAATGGTTTGAGAAATAAATTTAGGAAGGACCTGCCCTAAATGATCGGGCTGTAAATAGGAATGGCTGGATATCTTACTTTTAGACTTAATATATTCTATTGATGTAACTTTATAATAAAGTAGAATTAGCTCATGTGGTTATGTTTCCTGTCCAGTTTATCTGGAAGGGGTGACACCATCTGATACACATGGAACAGTAACAAGAAAGTCAGATATGGAAATAATGTGTACAGTACAACTCCTCCTGGGTTCAGCCATGCTGATATCAACTCCATTTCTGAATTTTAGCTTTGTTTGCTTTAATTTCTAAACTGTCTCACTCTAAATCCTTATTGTATGAATTACTCAAGCTAAGAAAAATCCATCATCTGGGGAAATTTCTACCATGTGAAATAGATTCACCACCAGAAAAAAAATAGACAAATTTATGGAACATAAATATATCAGTCACTGCAAAATCATGATGATTCTGTATTAATTCCAGATTGAAACCAGTGTGTTTCTCAACATTAATTCCTGGGAAACACTGTCAAGATTAACTTCTATGTTAATTGTGGACTTCCAATTGGCTGACCATTGAATCTGATCCAAGCCAATTGTGTGTGTAGACGTGTAAATGTTGTCAGGAGATCCTGTCCACAGTTTTTACCGAATGTGAGTCTGGAGAATGCATAGCTTTTCTTAATCCTGTGGTTTGGAAGATACTCCTTATCTGGGTTGAGGCTGCAACTTTCCTTGCCAACAAGATTTACAGCTTGAGGGTCACCTTGGCCAACCACATGCTATTTAACTGAGACTGGAAAAACTGTGATCAGAATATCTGATAAATTAGTTGCTCCCATTCCTAGAGAAGTGAGACTCCTGGCGTCCATGATTATGGGCTGGTAATGTCAGGACTGGTTTAAAGTAGTGCATTTTGTAGAGCAGTCCTGGAATGTGTAGTTGGTCCAGAATACTGCAACACAGATGACAAGTGATGCTTCCAGGAAACACTATATCATTCCTACAATGAAACTGTAAGGCAGGATATAGATTGTTTCTCAAGCTCAAATCAAGTTACTGAGAAGGATATAAAAAGTTTTGTGTATCTTTGGACCAGATTATTTAATGGCGTGTCTACACAATATAATTGGTCCTGCAATCTTAAATCTTTATTAGGGTATCATTTGCTCCATTGTATGTTTATGGTTAACACGGATATGTATTTCTGTCCCTTTTGCAGCTGGGTCTATGCCACAGAACTGAGGCTAGACACTATTGTTACAATTGTGGGTGGGTAGGTGAGGAATTAAAGCCATTATTTCCAACTAGCTCTTTGATACCAATTACTCTTGCATATTGTGACTTGCAATTTATCTAAACCCATGAATAGGGGTAAGGTTTTATTACTTTAAAGTAAATAATGTGCACCAATACACACTATGTACTATGTGAAGTGCTTGAAGAACAGCTAAAACATTTATAAAACTACTTAGCATGGGTGCAAATAGGGTTTTGGTCTACACATACTGTACTTTGCCACACTTTTCTTTATAAACCTGAGAACTAGGAACTTATTCAGAAACATAACCCCCAAGATTTTCCCCAAAAGGCTATTATGCCTGTGATAATAAGCTAGTGCAGCAAGTTTCTATATCTAATGTTTGTATGTAGGCAGCCCCAACAAAACTAATGGCTTTGAAACTGGACCATTTATCATGCCATGGTCTCATAATTTTGCATACTATAGGGATGGAAGGGTTCAGGTCCACAGCTGCTGGGCACGTCAGATTTATAGAGTGAAAGCACCTGAGCTCTCTCTCCTAATCCTTTGGGGAAACTCCAGTTTTTTAGGACTGATTAATGATACAACGTTAATGTAGCAGCCATTTATCCTGCTTCATAGTTTGAGAAGTTCTACACTGAGCAGATGATGAAGTCCATGGATTTGCAGTGATTTAGCACCTTTAGCTCCAGAGAATTAATGTCTCCAATATGCCAGTAAATCTACTAAATGAAGCAGTTTCTTGATGGCCATTTCTATGATGGATGATCTGAAAGAATGCCAAATTTTATCACTTAGCCCCAAATCTGAAAAGGCAAGGAAAGACAAAGCAGGAAGGGGGCTTCACATTTCAAAACATGGCCTAGTTCAGTTTGCAGTGTTTGGGTCTACATTTTCCTTCTCTTAAACTGCATTTGGAATCCTAGCCAGAGAGAAAGCTCTTCCGGACAACCGATTCCCTCACTGCGAAGAACAGCTTCAGGACCCACAGTTGGTATCCATTCTGTCTCTTAGAGCAAATGATGCCAACAAGACATTAAATGGTAGTTATGAAATGGAAACCAAGCATTTTACCTGACAATCA